TTTTTTTTTTTTTTTGGCACAACCCAACTTACTAACCCGAACGTCGTGCAGAACTCAGCTGGGTGCTCCCGGGCCGGGGAACCGGGACCTGGAAAGATGGAGGGGGCCAGAAGTTGAGCGGTCTTGAGAGCCGCCTGCCAACATAATGAAGTAGGCAAGGAAGAAACGGTCAATAGCAGCTATCCCCGGCCCGGCGAGGGAGGCAGGCCCGCGGGAGATGAGCTGCTATTATTGCAACGCTGCCAGACAGAAGCTGCAGACCCTTTTTTGCCCGCTGTGCCAGCTTGGCCTCCCCACCTCCCTCTTACCGGCGACGCTCTGGTTTTGCAGGGGAATGCAGCAGGTGCGGGCGCAGTGTGGCAGAAATTCGCTACTGCTCTCACCCCCTCCGGGAGGAGCCGCACGAACAGGCAGAGCCGCAGAGCCGGCCTTCCCGACTCCCTCCCCCCAGGGCCGGCCGCAGGGCCGGGGCGCTGCAGCCGCCCAGGGTCGGACCCCTCCTCACCAAACCCACCCTCGGAGACCCCACAAGACGGCTGGCCCGGGAACTCTGAAATTGGCTGCGCAGCAATCAGCACTGGGGGAGAATGTGCCCCTTGCTTTTGGAAGAATGTAGGCAGTCCTCTGCCCACATGGTGGACCTGAGAGCCCAGGGTGCTCTTGGGAGCCTCCCCGGGCAGCACCAGACCCCCATCTCCAGCTCCCTCGCAGAATCGCTGTTCCTGGGATTTCTTCAGGTCAAACTGAGGCAGACAACACACACTGGCTGCAGAGGGGCCCCAGACCAGGGAGGGTTCCTGCTGGGCCTCCTGGGGCTAAGAGAACCCCTCTCTTTAGAGCTTGAGCCCCTGAAAAGCCACAGGTCCAGCTCTGTGGATTTTGCTATGTCATCAGGGTCATCTATGAGATGTGGTTGAAGACTGAGGTCTACCCAGAGCTGCAAGGGGTGGTGGCCTGGGGGTGCAGTGACCTCAGGGAGCACTGGGGATGACAGGACTAGAAGGCAGGCTGGTTTAGTTTGGGTCTCCTTGAAGCCAGGCTGTCGCTGTCTCAAGCAGAGTATGGCCTCAGGGGTTTTGCAGGCAGCAGACTGGGACTTAAATCCCCGCGGGTTATGAGGTAAAAGAATCAAGGACTGCAGACCTGGGCATCCTGGCCTGCAGACTGAGGAGCCCGACCTCACAGGTGGTTGTGTGAGACTGTTTATGTAAAGTTTAGTGCCTGGGTTTTTCCACTTTGCCTCCCTTTGAAGGCATCATTGCCAGCCTCCAGCTCTGACTCTGGTCCATCTCTCTAGGTATCCAGACACTGGGCTTTACTGCAGTATTCTTTCTGTCCATCACCACCATCACCCCAACCCCGGCCTCTGCCCCACCCCTCACTGTCCTGGAGGGGGGCTTCCTGACTGCCAAGTCTGCACTAACCTGTCTCCACAATCCTGCTTTCTTCCTCACAGACGTCTCTCCAGCCCAGCAATAGCAAATGGGCTATTTCTTCTTCTTACAAGATTGGATCCTTAACTCAAGTCCAAGTGCCTTGTCCATTTGATGATGCCTATGTATGTATTTTTGGCTTCCTTTATTAAAACAAAAGCCCCAGACAGAGAAAAGCTCTTGATAGGGCACTGATAATCGTGCTGGTTGCTGACATGTGTTTCCCATGTGTCAGACCTGTGCTGGGCACCTGTGGCCGGAGGGACATTTCATCTTCACAGCTGTGGACAGCAGTTTTGACATCAGTACCATGTTATGGGAAAGGAAACTGAGGCAGAGAGCAGCAAAGCCACGTGCCCAAGGTCACCACGTGGTGGCTCTGACTCGTGACTCCCCACACCCTAACCTCCACGCCTCACTGCGCAGGTACAAGGGGCAGGCCCCCCAGTTTCATCACCCTCTTTGGTTCCTTTCCCTGACTGACCTCAGAGCCATGTCATTCAACCTACCCCCTTTAAAGCCAGATCTAAAAGTGTGTAACACCCAAAAAGAAATTAACTAAAGAAGGAAAGAAAAAAAAAAAAGACACATAACAGTTGTTGGGAACCCGGGTTTGGCTTCCACCCTGAAGGGCTTCGCTGGGATTGTGTGAGAAAGCGCCGGGCCCAGTTCCGAGCTCTAACACACGCTGGCTGTGTGAATTTGAGTAGCTTATGCCGACTCACTCAGCCTGCCCGTTGTCAAGTGGGACGACAACATGGATCCACGGGGTGGAAAGGATTAAACGGACATAACGAGTGGCCAGCCAGCGAGGGTCACTCAGCTGGTTAGTCATCGGTCCCTTGCTTCTAGAGGACACCTCTCCCAGAAGATGTCCACACAGGTTTGTTTCCAATATGTCCAGAATAGACTGTTTTCCAATATGTATCATCTTGCATGTGGAATTCAGGTCAGTCGAGGCCTCTGGGCCTAACTGAATACAACACCTCAAAAGAATAGATTTAGGGTCATCTCCAGAAGTGACCCTTTTATCTGAGCAAATTATCTGAAGGCAGGGCAAACATCTAGAGACAGCATTTTGTTTCATGAAGTGAAGCCCTCCAAGTCACGTGAGGCGCGTCCTCTCTCCGGGACACCCCAGGCCGCCATGCTGTCCTTAGCTCCGTCCCACTTCCGTCCTGTCCTGCCATAGTCCATGTCTATCCATCCACTTTGGTCTTTTCTCCAGTGAATTTGCCTACTGTTACTTTGATTGCTCTTCCAGGCTGAGCGGGATGGAGAGGGGTGGGGGAATGTTCCCCTGCGCCCGGGCTTTCCAAAGGTGTCAGGGTCCCTTTTTCCTTTTTTGACCACACAACCAGCAGTGCCCTGGACCTCTCCCCTGAGGTAGGGCAGATCCCAGACAAAGGCTTCTCCTTCCCCTTCAGCCTCTTCCCTGTTTGGAGGTCATGGCAGAGGGACAGGATGGTAATTGTCCCTCCGGGGGTGCCTCCCCTGCCCTCCCCTAGGGACCCCCAGCTGCCACAGTGTCCTCCTGAACTGTGGGGTACTTATTGCTTAGCTCCCCCTGGCTCCCTGTTGCTAGGACCATTTCCTACCAGGCACGCAAGTGGGGGGGCTTCCCTCCTGCAACTATTAGAAAGAAGAACTAAAGGGGCCCCCACCCACACCTGCCTCCTCCAAGCCACAGGAGCAGGAGTGAGGGGCTCTTCATTCTTCTCCCCAATTTTTACCTGTCCTGGAGACTCCCCACGTGCCTCCTCAGGCGCACTCACAGGTGACCACCCTCCTTCCTTGTGTGACCCCCACCTGTGCTGAGTGTTCCTTAGTGATCCTCCACTAACTCACCTGCCCGCAGGTAGCAGGGTCCAGGTGCCTGGAACTGGAGCCGGACTCAGGGCTGCCAGCTGTCCAAAGGTCTCTTGATTTAATCCTTGCAGCCACCCAGTGGGAGAGTCCCCAGCTTTCTCTGTGACAGATGAACACCTGAGCTCAGAGAAGCCAGGTTGCTGTGAGTCGTGACTCTGGGACCCAACTCAAGACTGGCTGACTCCCCAAACCCCCACGTCATTCGCAGAGCCGATGGACTGTTAGTTGGGTGCAGGCCTCTCTGCTCAATTCCTGCTCTTAAGAATGTGGGTTCCATCCCGCAGCTCTTGGAGGTGCTGGGGGCAGGGACATGCGTCCTGCGGGAGGCTGCCCCACCTGCCAGGAGCTCCGTTTTCTAAACAGGGGGGCCCGATGCTGGTGCTGACTGAGTGTTCACATAGATGGAGTGGAGACACAGTGTGGTGTGGAATCAGGCCCAAGGCGCTGCTCTGTGCCCCTTGGAGGTAGCTACCCCTCCCATCTCCCCACTGCAGGGCTGCCCGGCAGCCCTTGTCTGGCACAGCCTCCGGGCAGAGAGTTTGAGGAGGTGTTAGCCTGAGCGCCAGTCTGGTCTTAGCCTGCCTGCTGTGTGACCCAAAGTCTCCTGCTTGACCTCTCTGTGCAGGGTTTTTCTTGTAAAATAGGAAGGGTGCCCTGCACTCACTCCCACACCCCCGCCACCCATGCGGTTTTGGGTGACGTTCTTCAGCAGCTCTTCTTCCTGGCACCGCTCCCCTCTCTGGCTGTGGGTGATCTGGGTGCAGCCCAAGCCTCTCTGGAGCTGCAGCCCATCACCCTACTTCTCCCTCATACGCCCTTGTGGGGAGACTCCACCTTTCATCCAGCGGCCCAAGCCAGAAACCAGCTCTCTCTGCTTCCTTCCCTCCCAGACCCCCTCATCCAGCCAGTAACTTGCCCTTGGCAACGCTGGCTTTTCTCTGGTTCCTGCTCTCCCCAGGTACCCTGGTGTAAGCCTCCAGCACCAGCCCCAGCCTCCAGCCCAGCCCCTCAGACCCACCCTGCTGCCATGTGACGCTCCTGAACAGCCACTTACCTCTTCACCCCGCCTCGCCACCCCCCCCCATTGCCATGACACAACCTGCATTTCCTGCCAGGCAGGGAAAACTCTTCCCCATCTCCCGCTCCCACTGTCTCTGCCTCTGTCCCCATCCTAGAAGTCTGTACTCATGTCAAACCAAACTACCTCGAAGGCTCAAGCTGGCTTTCAACAGACCTGAAATCAGACAGACTTGGATTGGGGTTGAAGCCTGGTGTTGCTGCAGCCACGTGCACCCCAGGGGGGTATCTTTCCCCTCTGACCCTCAGGTTGCCACCTGTGACGTGGGGTCAATGCCCCGTGATGGCCTCAAGGGTCAAACACAACTGTGTGAGCACAGTGTCCACCTCAGTGCTGGCCCCCACAGAGGAAGCTCAGGAACATGAGCTTCCAGATGGTTCCAGGTCTTTCTCATCGGCTCTAACAACTCCCAATCCCTTCCATCTCTCGTCACCCTTTTCCCTTGTCCATCTCATCATTTCCTCCTTGAAGCCTGTCCGCACCCTTTTCCTGGCCTCCACCCCCAGTTCCGCAGGGGCTCACTGCCCAGCATGCCCAACTCACCAGGTCGGGCTCTTGGGACCACCGCTGTCCTCCAGGACACATCTCTTCTGCCAGTGTCCTCAGAGCAGCTGCCCCAAGTGTTTGAGATCCAGGCAGGCTGGCAGGTAGAGGGCCTCTGTGAGCCCCACAGCTTAGCCATGCTGCTGTCTTTATGCCCCTAGACTTGCCTCTCTGCGAGACCCTCGTGTCTGAAAACACTAAGTTGCCCCTGGGCCAGTCAGAGATGCTGTTATGGACTCTGACAAAGGAGCTGAGAATGGCCAGGGGAGGGACTACGGGCCTTCCCCCAGCCACCAGGAGGGGGCAGTGTGCGTGCGTGTGCGTGTGCGTGTGTGTGTGTGTGTGCGCGCGTGTGCG